CGCTCCGCCTCGACCGTCTCGTAATTGAACCAAGGACAATCACAGCTCTTCCATTTGGTGCCGCACACCATGCAAAATTGTGCTCCGCAAATACTACCACGCGTCAGCAGGAGATCCAGACCAAATGACAAGGAACACTGACCATGTCATGTGGTTGCAGCCCTCCTTGAGCTCAACCATGTGACTGCACTTGTAGCACATCTTCCATCCCTCGTCTTTGGCGTGGTCTAGGAATCTCGTCGTCTCTTCATCGCTGGGACACTCCCTCGATGAGTGCCATTTGCCGTTGCAAGAGCAGCACACTTTGGTCTTGCACTGGCCACACTTTGTGGACTGGCGACCGCCCCCTTCGTTGCGGAAGTGTTCGGGTTTTATCCACGCGCCGCACTTTCTCGAAGGGCAGTAGATGCGGTTGGCCGCCGTGAACTCTGAAAACTTTCTATTCCACTTCTGCTTGAACTCGGGCGTGAACAGGTGGTCCACGTGTTTTAAGGGTATGTTTGCGACACAGCACTTTGGAGGCATCTGCTGCGGATCTGTGATGGAGAGTTTAAAGTGTCTCTTGAGGCACGCGTCACACTGTCGATGGCCGCACTTGAGTTTTGCGATTCTACTCGGCTGGAACTCCTCCATACATATGAGGCACTCGACTCTGGACGATGTTAGCTGGTGCAGACGTGCACCCGTAGACAAACATACCTGGCTCCTGGCTTCTCTGACGAGCGGGAGACGGTGCTCCCTGTGAGGACGTTTCCCACCAAAGTAGACGCCGGCCTACTTGACGAAGTCGTGCTTCGCGTGTGCGACGTGACATGCGATGCCCCTGATACGGTGTTGGAGCGGCGGATCGACCGCGTCTCTGGGTACACAACCTGAGACTGGTGTCTCCTGGAATGCCTACTGGGAATCACGTCAAGACGACTCCTATCTGGAAGAATCTCGTACGCCAACCTCTTGGTGGCGCTGGGAGGTTGAGAGATCTCGTACGTCTTGGCCGACGAATGATGACGGCTCGATCTCCTCACGGGACTATACGAATGCTGTCTGGGATAGTGTCTCTCGGATGCCGGACGCGACGAGGACGGGTGAGAGCGGTGCCGTGAAGACGAGCGGCTGAGGTCGCCCAGGGACTGCCGCGGCGTGGGCTCCGTGGAGCCGTCCTCCTCCATATAGATGATCTTTTTGATCTTTCTACGGCGCTTGGTTGTGTTATCGGCTGATGGAGGCGTCCGCCGCTCGACAACGGTCTGAGCATGCCGTGCTGCCTTTTGGTACCTCTCCCGCTCCCGCCTTTCCCTTTCTCGCCGTGTCTCTCGCTTCTCTTCCTCGGATGAGTCACTCGTTTCCGAGTCCTCATCCGACTCCGACTCGGATTCAGAGCGCGAATACCTCGACGACCGTCTCGACTCGTAGACCGGCGGCCGCGTCCTCGAGTGATGGGCGGTGCTGCGGCTACGGTGTCGAATGGAAGACTGCTGCTGCCGCCGTCTAGCCAGGGGGGACTCTTCCTCCTCCTCACTGTCGTCTGACTCTTCCTCGCTGTCCTCCTCCTCCTCCTCTTCCTCGTCGTACGTCTTATAGCCATTGTCCACTGGGACCCTTCCCCTTCTATACGGAGCACCGGCTTTTGGGGTTCTGGGCATCGTGGCTCCTGGAGTGGGAGGCGCACTGCTGAGCTTCACAATTCTTCTCGGTGGTGCTCCCAAGGGCGAGGGTGAGCTCGTGCTGTCGAGCCCTTGTATAAAGTCTCTGGGCCTCCGGTAGGGCATCGGGTCGTAGGCGGACTCAACAGTAGCGACGCTGGGGTGAGGGCTCATGTGAGGGTGAGGGATCGGGTGCCAATCATAGTCGGCCATTTGCGGCGGGCTGGGGGGATGCCGCCGACGGCTCGTTCTCCTGTGCAACTCTGCGCCATCTCGATAGGCCATTGGGCTGGGGCCAGCCTCATCCGGGAGTGCGACGAGTTTTGAGGGTGGTGGAGGAAAAAAGGGGAGCGGGAGCGGTAGCGGTAGCGGTAGCGGTAGCGGGAGTCGGGAGTCGGGAGTCGAGGGGGGGGTGGACGTGTGGTGAGGGTCTCACGGCCTTGGATCTACAAGGTAGGCTTAGTGTCGAGAAAGGATGTGCTGTGTGTGCTGCGTACTGCGTGCACCCTGACAGCTGGTTGCTCGTGAGTGGGTGATTTCAATGCATGCCGTGGAGCGGTGATTGGGTTTGGATGGCGGGTTGCATATCGGACATGCACATGCGGTGATATTGCGCGCCCTGCTTTTTTTTCTCTGTTCCTTTTTTCTTCTTCTCGTGAATGTGTCCTGCAACTGACGAAGGCGAGCCGCGACTGGTTTGCCTCGTGTCTCTCGTCTTTGATGCCCCTCGGTGAGGTATCAATCGGGCAGCAGCGGAAGCTGTTTGGTCGGACGGGGGAGACAGTGGATATCGACGTTTCGATGGATCACGGTTCGAAGGATCAGCTTATTTGGATCGGCCCATGTGCGAGAGGAGAGGGCTGGCAGCTTTGACTTTGGAGCAAGGTCCAAGTGAGGTGAGGGAGAGGGAGAACAAGAGACGGTACGAAGTAGAGAGAGAGAGGGAATGAGAAGAGTGAGGTTGGACGTTTGTGACAGCCGACTCAGGTCTCAGGAGTCATTGGCTTGGATTGCCCCGACCTGGAAAGAGCTGCCACTGGGAGAGACAGGGCGCCACCGAGGCACAGCGCAACCGAGTGGCCCCTATTGCGGGCGGCGGGGAGCTTCACCTTTCCGCCTCCTCCATCTCTTGGTTTCTGTACGGTTGTTAGGTTCACTCATTCACATCCAATCCCACGTCTACAACGAGATCCAATTGTCTCTGCCTCTGCCCGCCTCGTGCTGCCCCATACCCTCTTCTGTCTTCTCCGTCTGACTCTGCCCCCCTTAGATCCAGAAACAGACATGAAGTTTTCAATTTGCAGTGTCCAGTTTGACCCGCCCTCGTGTTCAAATGGACCGGTCCGCTCGTTCGTCGCGTTCCAGCCTCCCACCACAAACCACGAGAGTCCCTGCACCACCACCACCACCACCACCACCACCCGGACAGCAAAAAACCCTCTCGCGCGTGTCCGTATAAGCGTCTTACAGTCGTCCCAGCTAGCGGCCAGTCCGATGTGCGCCTACAGCGCGGGAGCGGCTGCCTCTTTGACAGCCCAAACCTAACCATGAGGCGAACCTAACCAGCCTAACGGAATGCGTGTGGGTGTACTGGCGGGAGGCTAGTGGGTGGTGCAGCGTGGTGCTGAGCCCCTGTACTCAGCGTCCCTGCAGGGGACTGCCCGCCACCGTTTCCTCTCACCTCCCAGTCTCACCTCAGCTGCCTTACCTAAGCTCGCTAACTGCGCTGCAGTGCTGCACCTCGCACCTCAAGCGCGCTCACCGCAGTACCCAGACCTGAAGCGCACGTGCCTCAGCCCTCGCATTCCACCCGTGACCGCCAGCCGTTCCACAGGGATCCCAGCCCGCGGGAGCGGTGCTGGCCCAGCACACGGACGCTATGATTTGGCCGACAGTCTCATATCGTGAAAGGGGGGCCATGCACTGCAGTTAACATTGGCTATTCATGCGTAATTTGCTTCATGAGGGTCTACAGACTCCTGTACCCTAATCATGAAAAATCCCCATCGTCTTCGCGCCCACTGCAGGGCATGCTGAAATTGGGTGTGCCTGGTCCACTCTTTTCGGCCGGGCTGCGAAAAAGTGTAGATCGGAGCTACCCACGGGGCCGATTGGCGCAGGTGGGGCCGATCCGGACCGTTACACCCTGTGCTGGCCCCCGAGTCATTGGCGTCTGCAGACCGCCTCGACACATCGGCCACTAACCGACTAGCTTTGCTTTTTGCTTTTTCTCATCTCTCTTTCGATCCTATCGATTCATTGATTCGGCCTTGGCTGGCGAATCGTCTCGATTCTTTCCTAGACCATAAATCCACACCACCACGACCTACCAAACACCAGACCGCCTGCCTCAAGTCTCGTGTAGGCGGCATCCTCTGCTCCATGGTTTCAAATCTCGCATGTGCCTCGATATCCTCCGACATCGCTGCCGTGCAACGCATCCCGCGTCAGAGGAGGCAGAAAAGAAATATTCAAACAGCCTAGCGCTGGGCTTTCTGGGCAGAAAAACCAACAGACTCCAACACTCGCTGCTTCGCATCACCGTTCTGGAAACCCGGGCAGGACCCAGCCCGAGATCGATTGGTGGATCCATCCCGTCTTCTCCTTCCCTCGCAGCCAGGAAACCCCACCCCGTGATCCCGTTCCATGCAGCCCCGATAGCCCCACCCCGCGCCGGCAGATGCGGCACTCCTTAAAAAGATGGGGCCCATGTACACGGTACCTTCCGGCCGCTGCGGTGCCAATCCGGTATATACATCGGCGGCATATCAGCAGGGGCGTATAGTAGACCGTCGGTTCCCCCCCCCCCCCCTCTTGTGACGCTGAGCGAGACACGGCGTTGGGGACAAGAAAGAGATATACTTCTCACAAACCCATAATTAAGCCATCATGTATTCCCTGCGAATAGACCTCACATGCCTCACCGGGACATCAACCGCACGCAGCATCACGCGGACATGGACGAGGAAACAGCTACAGTACAGCCGCGTGACCGGAAAGCCCCTTTCGCTTTCGCGTACCTTGCCTTGAGCATGCACCTCAGTCACCTTGTTCCCCGCGGGGCAGACTGCCCTTACCTTACCCCGCATAGATGAGTCGTTGGGGTCGCGTCCCAGACTCCCAGTACACCAGTGAGCGAATCGCAAGATCCCGCGCAATCTAGGTCGAAACACATTGACCTTCTGCATTCAGGACGTTGCCACGGTCGGGTACTGTCGAGGTCGAGTTCAACGTCTGCAGCTGTAACGCAAGGCCAGATGGTCACATTCGCATGCCCACAAATGCACAGATAATTGGAGCTGTCTTTCTTTCTCCAGGTACAGACAGGAAATGGGGTATTTCTTCATCGGCAGTGCTATGTTGTACAGTTACTATGTCACCACATCTCGGCAGCCCTGTTCTTTGGGAGCCAACTCCCCGGGCCAGAGAAGTGTTCTGTTTGTCCTCCCAAAGATACTATGGCTGGCTCATCTAGAGCCGCCCAAAGTAAAGTCTTGTTCCTCCCAAACCCGTATGCCTCAGAGCCGGTTATCCCAGCCACCTCGCAGCGCTGCCACTGAGTACTGCTGTGAGTGCTGCCACTGTGCGCTAATAACCACTCCGTCAGACTTGCCCTCAATGAAAAGTGACAGCATCTCGCCTCTTCCTCTCTCTTTCTATTCCCGGGGGTCGGCGGCAGAGCCATCTCGAAATGGGTTGGCGCCAGGCTGGCTCATTGGCTGTGTGGGTGGTCATGCCGGGATTTCGGTCCGAATACCGTGTAAGATCAAGTATTACCCGCCAACCAAGCCACGCCAATTCGCAGGGCAGCGTCCAGCCCCCATTTCCATATGGCGTGACCCCGGATTTCTGTCTGCACCCCAGATGGACGCCTCCACCGTTCAGTGTAGCTTTGCACGCTCGATGCTGTTGCGACTGTACGCCGGCTTTCCCAGCCAAACGGGCGGCGGGGTACTCAACCCCAGGGTCGTTTGCAGGAGGATCATGGCGATGGCCCACCGTCAGGAACGTGGAGCTGGAGACTGCCGCGGGTCGCACTGTTGAGATGGGTGGCCCGCTGCAGACAACTAGATGCAATTCGAATAGGCGGGCGGGCCGAGCGGCTTTCAACCGCTCAGGTATGCCCTCCTTCGCACTTCGGCCTCTTTGATAATCTCGGCTGCCAGGCTCAGACTCGGGGCCAGTGTCGAGTATCGCTCGATCTCCATGACCACGTCGTTGATGATCTGATCGATGGTTTCCCTGTGGGGAACGAGGGTGAGGAGGATACTGCTCAAAGAGGGTGACATGGTCGCACCCATGACCAGTAGCGTTTGCGATACGATGGAGAGCGCTCCCTGCCACAGGTATGGCATGTGTCCGGCGTGACTGCGGCGAGTTAGCGTTATGACAAGAAATGATTCAGCACTTGAGCTTACTGTTGTGAAATGTGCTCCAGCTGCCGGATGGAGGCTTCCAGGCACTTGTGGCAACTGTCACGCACCGCGGGGTCCAGGACGGCCTGCTCATTGTCCAATACGGCCAAGATGTACGGGCGGTAGATGATCGTCCGGCAAGCAAAGAAGCGCAAGCGCAACACGGTCTGCACCGGATCGGAGAGGAGGGTACGGGTGAAGGGGAACTGCAGCGGCATCGGCAGGCTCTCGTACCATTGCGTCAGCTGAAAGTCGAGCTCCGCCACCACCGGCTCCAGGCTGGTTGTGGAAGCCATCGAGTCTTTTGAGTAGATGAGCTGGCTGACCCTGTTGAGGAGCCGCCGCAGGGCAATCTCGGCGAGGAAGTACCAGAGGTCGTCCCGGCCAATCGCTTCTTGCTCCTCACCCTCAAAGCCGCCAGGAAGGCCGACGTTCTCCTCAAATTGAACGACGCCCGAATGTGGCAAATCCAGCTCGGCCAAAAGATCGCTCTCAAACAAAAGTGAGTTCCAGTAGATTCGCTCAGTGAGCTCCCGCTGATTGGGCGGGACTCTGTTGGGGGACATGAGCAAGAGCTGAAGTTTGGTACTGGTGGTGCAGAGCAGATTCCAAGCCTCCAAGGGCCGCACCAGGTAGAACAGATAAGCCGAAGCCAGCAAGTGGCACTGCGCCGCCAGGACGTTGTTGGACGTCATCATACCGGGCAGCAGCGCCCACGCGGCCGTAAAGTACTGCAGCCCGGGAGCGTCCTCTCCCGGGACGATGCGTGAGATGCTGCCTCTCAAACTCGCTTGACCCAGGGCCAGGACCAGCAAGACGATGCAGCTCTCGGCGCCCTCGCGGAAGCCGTTGGAGAGGGCTGTTCGATAATGGCTTCTCCACGTGTACGGGTTGACGCAGGCGTACCAGACATTCACCCGCTCAAAGTAGGCCTCGATGTAGGCAGTCGTATTGGATAGGTCAACACACGGCGTCTTTGTGAGCGAATGGAGAGGCTCGCGGGCCATTTCCAATTGGAGCAGGACTTGCGGGTCATAGGGGCGAGAGACGAGGTCGCGAATGAGAGGCCACTGCAATAGGTGAAGCGCCGCGTTTGTATGCATCTTGGGCATGGTTGAAATGTTTGTCGGGTTGTTCCACGTGCCCAGGCCGCCGTTGGGGATGATGGAGACGGCGTTGCCTGAGCCTGGTATGCCCATCAAGCTGTCCCCGTTGAGGCCTGATCCGTTGCTCATCGACGGCGACTCTTGGTTCATGGCGATGCCGTTTCCCTGTCCGGCGACCATGTTCATCTGCAGCAGGCTTTCAATACGGTTGAGGCGCTCGAGAATCAGCTTATCCCCGGCATCCAGCTTGATGCCGGGTTCTCTGTAGACACACTCGGCGCCCAGCTCGGCGCAGAGCTTACACTTTGGTTTTGTGCCATCGCAGCGAGACTTGCGGGAGCGACACACTTCACACTGTCGTTGGTCAGCTCACAATGTCTTTCACACTGATCAATTCACATACTGCAATAGTGGCCCTCCTCCGTGGGTAGTCGATGCCAACGTCCGTGTTCCTCCTCTTTAGCGGGTTGGACCCCTCGTCGCTGGGCGCCTTGTGCATGCCATTGGTCAGAGCATCGGGACGGTTCTCGGAGGACTGAGACATGTTCCGGGCTTTTTGCACGGAACCTAGGAAGCCATCTCTGCTGAAACTGGGCGTCCTTTGCACCTTGAGCGAGGCGGGTGACTTGAGAGGGTGGATGCCGTTGGTCATGGAAGGTGAGGGAACGTCGACGTTGAAGGCATCGCGCGACGGGACGGGAAAAGACCTCCCCGCGTTGCCGTTGCCCGTGGCCGAGCGCGGGGAGTCACCCGTCGACGACGGGGACATGGCGTGCTGCGTCTGGAGACGAAGAAGCTTGGTGGAAGACGTGGTGGGCAGATGGTGGTGCGCCGCGATAGCGCAGCTCAGGCGGGGGTGGATGGATGAGTGAAGCGGCGACTTGGGGGGGCTTGGTGGCTAAATAGTTGCGATGCACTGGCGGTTTGCGAGGCTGCAATCGACAAAGACCGGACCGATGCGATTAGGTTCGGCTGAACGGGGGGTGCGTGACTCGAGGCGAAAGGTGTCAGTCAGACCAGGCTCGAAGGTATCGCGGTGTTTCACAACTTCTTTGGAGGTGCCGTAGGAGAAGGGAGCAGACGACGGAACAGAGAAGGCGAGAAGAGACGAATGCACGGCTGTGGAGCAGTAATTATGGGAGAATCACCGAGGCGGAGGAGGGGGGGGGGGAGGGAAAATAAAATGCGGAGGAAGCAATCCTATGGCGTTGTTGGTGTCGGATGGCCAAGGATGGGCAGCAAGTCGCTGTTGAGGGTAAAAAGAGACACTCGTCTGAGTGCCCGCAGGTGAGCAGAGGGGAGCTCTAGGCCAGCTTCATCCCCCTTTGCCCCGGACCCCGGCTTGGAGTCGTTGGAGCGAGAATCCATCGGATTGGTGCGTCGTGACAGTTACCCCATCCCGCAGCGGCAGACATCAGGCGAGGCCAGGCCAACCAGAGCCGACGGTTGCAACGGGCATGGGACGAAACGGGCATGGGATGGGATGGGATTCGGGGAGAGGATGAGATGGGGAACAAGGGTCAACGGCGCACGCTAAGCAGAGGGGCCGTCGCTTATACCTACACAGTGAGGTAGCGCGGAAGAAGCATCTTGGTGTGCTGCCGGTTTGTCCATGTTTGTCCATCGTGGGTGTTGGAAGACATGTGTTCTTTGCGTTGACAACCTCATGCCGTACCGTAGGTACATTGGGTGAATTTGATGTCGTTGGTAACAAAAGTATTGATCCGTGCCTTAATTCCGTTCCGAGTTTACGGCATCCATGGGGAAAGTGCCCTCAGTGTCGATCGGCCCTGCCAATCTGGGGGAGGGGCCACGACTACATCAATAAAGTACCTTGAGTGTTTGACCTGAGGCAAGTGCTCCCCGGAGCGGGGGAAACGGGAAAGTGCCTTCCTGCCTTCTTTGGAGTCATTGAGGGTATCTCCTTCCTCTCGTCTGCGAGTTCTATAAGTACGGATACAAAATACCTGGCTTACTAAGGCCAGTGGGCATTTCGAACCTCCCTCGTAATTTTACACACTTCACGTTGCAACCTCGTTCCATTATCCATGGCCACAACTCCATAACGAATGAAGCCCAATCCCGAGTCTCTCCCGTTGTCTGCCGTGTTCTTGTGTGGCCCCAGTCTCCCCTCTCTGCCTGTACCTGCATGTCGACTCCCTTCGTCACGCTCACGGTTATTCGTACACTTTGACGAGACTTTGTCCAAGTAGGTGGCAGCATCCCTGTCAACTTCATTTCGCTCCCGCCACTCTACCAAGCTCGACTAACACCTCCAGGTTCTAGAAATCCCTCGGGCCCAATCTAGACAACACCAGCTGTGCCGCTGTCAAAAGATGGGGCTGCGAGAGATTGTCTCGCCATGTTAGCAAGACCCTGTCATGGTGCTCAACAGTCCTACAACGCCAGCCAGGTCATGAGGGGTGGTGGGCGAGAACCGCCGGAACGTAGATTAACCACCACCCCTCCAACACCCAAATCGGGACGCTTCTCCAAACAAGATTGACGAGCTCCCGCCTCGCTCTCATGCGTCCGAGGCCAGGGTTCATGAGCAGTTGATGTCGCTGAGTAGCTGATTCTTCACGAGAGATTTTGGACGGTACCCCAAAAGGAAAAAGAAATCGACTTACGAATCACTCACTTCGACCAAGATTCATCACGACGGTCCGCAATCTACCTACGCATATCTTCCCATCTCGCGAGTTCGTCCCCGGGAGAGAATCCGGGGTCGGACGGGCGAACGGCCGGCCGTTTCCCTGGCACACCACACATGGCGATGGATGCCCCACACTGTAAGTCCCTCCCGACTACCCGCTTCCGGGGTTCTAATTCGTTACCAGACTTTGACACTCTGTAGTTTTGCTGCATGTCGACCGACCAGGCCAAGAAGCAGCATTCCTCTGCCGTGTCTGTCGGAACCTTTCTTGAGTGTATACCGGTTGACAACCCCGGGATCACGGTCGTGTCGAACCAGACATTTAACGATGACTCTGTTCCGTCACTCGAAATGCCAGCCGCGGACGGGTACCTTCTTCGTGGAATCTGGAGTTGAAACCGAGTATTCTACTATTAATCTTAGACTTCTGAGAGTACGACATCAAAATCCTCAGCTTCCACAAGAAAGAACCAATCGTATTCCTTACGTCCGCCATGAAGTAGGTCGAAAATGCACTCGCGTTGCCTCAAGTGTCGGTCTGGAGAATTCCATTCGGCTGCGCTTTTACATTGCGTCGGTACTCATCCAAGTGTGACTTTCAATATTGTGTTATCACTCCGCTCCCGCGACTCTGGTCTTGTAAGTTGACGTGCGCATCAGAACGCGCAGCTTCACATGGACCAGGTATCTATCTTCCCGCCCGCCTTTCGGGTTCCCTTCTGACCCAGGCCTGCAGACGATGGCCCACCCGGGGATCCGAGCTTTACTCGAACGGGGTCAGCCACTTCAAGCACGTTGGCTTGCTCGCGAGCCGCCCCTCGGTTACCGGATTAGGAGCCCGTCATCTTCCCAACTCGGGTTACTGACCTTCCTACGTAGCCAAGGGGCGTTTATGATTCACGACGCGCATAAGCGAGTGAGAGTTTTCGGGTGTATGATTCCTGTGTCATGGGTCTCGAAATGTCCAACATGTCATTGAGGTCAGTACGGGCCCAGACTGCCTATACACCAGAGTTTGATTTCGTTGGTATCTAACATCTACTCGTGGTATACAATTCAAGGAGATGCAAGTTGTTTCATGCCGCTACGCACATGCTAAACGCCTACTCATCAAAAATAACGGCAGTCACTTCGCCATCAACCTTGGCGCTCGTGAGAATCTCTCCCAGCTTGCCCGACGCGGCATCACGGCTAATCACAACGACACGGCTGTCGGACTGCAGACCAACGGCTACGAGGTCGCCCGCCTTGCTGACGGAGAACTGGCGCGGGATGCGTCCACCGGCAGGGAACTTTTGCAGCAGCGTAAGACCGCCCGTCTTGGCGTCAACGGTGAAGGTGTTGAGCGAGTCGGAGGGGATCTGCGCGCCCTCGCCGGGAGTGTCGGGGTTGCTGATGCTGAAAGCCGAATCGTTGCGTGACGAGACGGTCAAGAACTTGCCATCGGACTGTTTTGTTAGTATGCATTGAGACTTCATACAGAAGAACGTTGACTCACAGAAATCCAAATCTCGGCGGCGCTGGCACCGGCAGGCGCAGAGGCACCAGCTCCGTAGGTGGAGCCGGAAAACACCTCGGTGAAGCCGAGCGTCTTGTTCTCGCGGTAGGCGACGTCGTAAGCGGTGACGGTGTTGGCAAGCTCGCTAATGAGGTACAGGTACGTCTTGCCCTCGGGGGTGACGAGGAACTCGACGTGGCGGGGTCCGCTGTCGGGGGCGGCGACGAGGGAGTCGACGGCGACGAGGTTGTTGGCGCCATCAACGGCAAAAACGCGGACGAGGTCGGCGCCCAGGTCGGGAACCAGGACGAACTGGCCCTTGGGGTCCAGGAAGACCTCGTGCGGGTGCGGGGCGTCCTGGCGCGACGGGTTGGGGCCGGGAGCCGACATGTTGAACGTCTCGGACTTGACGGGCGTGAGGGCCGCCGGGTTGGAGATGTCAAACCAGCTCACAGAGGAGCCGCCGCTGGCAAAAGTTAGCTCGTGCTCGTCGTCAACAAACATCAAGACATACTACTGAGCGATGGCGAGGCCTTGGCCCTTTTCGCCAAAGACAACGGCGCTCACGGGACCGCTGATGGTCTCCGTCTTGGCCAGCTGCTCCAGCACACCGTCGGCGCCGGTCTTGAAGGACGAGACGGTGCCGACATTGGTTGTAAGACCCTCATCCGTGCAAAACAGCCTCCCGTTGGCCTTGTCGAGCTGGAGCCACGATGGGCTGGGCGCGCAGCCGTTGGAAGAGGAGAGCGACTGCAGGGTGGACTGCGTGGCGTTTGCGCCCGACAGAGTGAGGTTCAGGGTGGTGATGGCGCCGCTGTACGATGAGGCGTAGAGGAGGGTGGCGGCCGCCGGAGAGGAGAGCAGCAGCGGCACGAGGCCGGCCGGCGCAAAGAGGTCTCGCAACATGCTGGGCAAATACTGGACGACGAACGAATGTCTGTGTTGGCAAAACAGCTGCACGGTGAGAACGAGGCACGGAACGAGTGTGACGACAGTGACGAGTGCGAGCACGGGACGGAGAAGAAAAGGACGACGACGACGACGAGGTCTTGAACTCGAGGAGCGAAGACGGCCCATTTTCGCGTAAGACCCCTCAAGGTCCCAGGGGCAAGGACGGAGTCTCCTCTGAATGTGTCAACGATTGTCGCCCGTAGACCTTGGTTCCCTGGTCATGCGCTCACTGCCTTGGTAAAGCCGGGACCTGGACTTCGAAACGGGACCCGGTTGCCTGTTTGGGACGGTGAACGGGATTCTTCCGTGCTTCTGTGGCTAACCTTAATGCCCACAGAATACTTGTACAGACTTCACAGCGTACGGACACTACGGCGGAGTAGTCGGAGTGCGGTGCGGACACTTTCCAGAAGACAGGCTCAACCCTGAAGCGACGTTAGCAAGGTGATGGGCTTCCCCTGTAATGAAAACGTCCGGCCAGGGGTAGTTCACGGTATTTTCGTCTGGTTCGATGATAGAGTTTGTCTGGGAGATTCAGGTTGAGTACCTCGAGACAACCGCCCCTTTCTGTTCCTGTACAGCGTACCGGCAGTATGCCACAGAAGGACCAGACAGCTTCCCGCAGCACACAACTCGACGAACCGCACCTCGTCTTTGGATGGCAAATGTTCGTGTCACACAAACTCTGAGAAAAAGGGTGTCGAGTTCGAGGTGGAGAAGGTTACTTTGACTTCCACTCGTGTGCCGATGCGGAGAATGTGGAGAAAAGAGGAGGAGGAGCCCAAAAGGACTGGAGGAGGCGGAGAGGTGAGGGGGAACCACGGAGATGCAGTCGGCCCAATCGGCGCCGCTTGTTGATTTCCTGTGGGTTTTCTCTCTCGTTCGTGGGGTTCTGAGAAATTTCCCAATTTGCGGTAATTTATGATGCCGTCCCCAGCACGGGAGACGGTGAACACTGACCACCACAGGCACGGGACGATGCCGGCGCCCAGTGAGGTCTTGGTCGAGTGTGGCATCACTCGAATCACGGATACATCACCAAAAAGTCAAACCCCTCGTCTGCCATCCGACCGAGCCGCCCGGCAGTCGAACGGCCGTGCGCCTCTGCATCGAACCTCGAGAGTGACGCTTCGCCAATCACCTTCTTGTCGGATTTCAACTGGCCAGAATGGCAAGCTCGCATCATGATGTGCCATGTGGCCTCCCCCGCACTCCGATGCAAGCCACGGCCAACCTTGTCTTCTTCTAGCGTTGCCTCCGGCTTGCCGTTTGTGAACTGCGGGATCGTCGTCGCACAGAAGCTTACTCTTATTCTGCATGTCTAGGTCTGCCATGTGCCGGGCCATGTGCACCACACGGTGCCTGGATTTACAGGGACGAACACTCGCATGCCGCACGAGGTATATCAACAGCCATCAGAATGCGTTAAAACGAGCCTGACGACGTGCGAGCTCTCCATCCTGGGTCATGATCACATCAAATCTTGACTCTTTGGCACACATGGGCGCTGTACCAAGACGGCGTGGACATTACGAACTGAGCAAACAATGCTCCAGGTCTCCCCTCGGAGTGATATCAAGTACCGCAAGAGCCCAGACTATAGCTTACTATAGCTTCATGCGGGGGGCGTAGCATTGTCCCCATACTCAACCATCCCAACGCCGGTACCGCCTCTTCTTTGCCTAAACTCCAAGCCAATCGAATCTGCGAGAGAGGGTCATCTTGCGGGTGGTTATGCACGACTCACCTCGGGACCGTGTGCACCAGGAATGCCAGGCCGTCCTTCCGTGCCGTGTCTCTCGCGGGGGCTCTCCTACTTGCTGTGCCGTGAGACTGTCAATCTTTGCGTACCAAAAAAGTGTTGCGAAAACAAATCGCTGCAGCGCGGTCACTGTTATTTTTCTCTTTCTCAGGCTAAGGTAACTCACGGACGCCCATCCACACGCTCTTGTTTCCCATCCTCGATTCCTGTTCGTTGCGCCGGGCATCGGTCGCCTCTCGGGCCAAGGTAAACCGACGTGCATAATACCAAGTCATCAATCTGAATGTGTGCGCCAACTTTTCCCTCCTAATGTTCCAGTACGATTGCAGATCACGAGCGTAAGGCCCAACGCCTGATGCTTAGGCCTTCTCAAAGGTTGTAGGAGTGCTGTTCCCCTTGGAGTGAGACAGACTGTAGGGTGCCTATTGAACGTCAGTTTGTGTCATATGGACAAGCACGAGTAACTCACCAGAACCTGCTTGGCATTGCAGATTCGCCAGGCCATCTTTCTGACGTTGCCGTCGGCGGGCACGATGGCGGGGGCGAATTCGATACCAAACATTTGGTGGATGGCGTAGACGATTCTCTTGGCATACTTGCCATCGCGCTCGACGTGGCCGCCAAAGGGCTCGTCAACGGTGGTGGGCGCAATGTCGTGGTCACGGTCACAGCAGTTTTGCACAAGAGGCAGCAAGGCTTGCTCGACGGCCTTTTCGTACATGCCGTTGGCGTCAACCTCGACATCGTCCTCATCGAATTTGCCGATGCGGATCTCAAAGGGCTGCGAGATGGTCATGACGTGGTGGTTGCCGGCATGGTGGTACCGGAACTCAAAGACGCCCTGAGTCCACCACAGCCGATCGCCCTCAAAGATGACCTCGCCCTCGACAATGTCGGGATCCGACGCGTCCTGCTGTTGAGCCGGTCGATCGGGGATCAAGATGGCCTTGTCGGCGGTGGCCGCATCATAGCTGCCGGGAGTCGTAGGCACCCACCGGCCTAGGGACGGCACCTCTGTCGCTTCTCTGGAGCGGTTATCGGTAACCATGTAGAGACCAATCCAGTCCTTGCTGTCGTGCTTTGCGGGAGCGCGCCACTTAACTTTCAAAGGGGCGCCATATTCAAAGATCATGGTCTCGACACCGCGTTGGAATCGGGCCGTCAGACCCTCCTTGCCCGTGGCACGCTCATTGGCGGCTGATAGGCTTGAGGGGGTGCCTTCTACGGAGAGGGAGTAGAGTTTAGGGTCTAGCCCAGCGAGATCCGGAGACAGGCGTGTGACGGTCAGACGAGCCGGGTACTTGTTGAACAGGGCCGAGGTGTCGCGGACGATCGTCTTGATGCCGGAAGCGAACTTGGGGCGCGCGGTATCGAGGAACTCCTC